CGCCACGCTACCCCCCCCCCCCCCCCCCTTCCCCTCCCCCCCCCCCCCCCCCCCCCTCCCCGATACTGGTGAACGGCTTCTTCCACCCCGAGGCAACCGTAACCCCGATAAGTAGAGCCCTGCATATCCGCAGTCAACTGGCGGATTCGGTAAAAATGATTCAGAGTCGGCGGATTGCGGATCGGGTGCCAGGGGCTGCGGATGCAGATCGGGTGCGGATATCCGCGGGTTCTTTTTGCCGAGGCGGCCCATAAACGAGTGCGACCGCAGATTGAATAAGTGAATGATACTATGAAGTGCATCATTGAATGTATTGCGGGAGCAAACTACTCCTTTAGATAAAAGATGCCAATCGGGGAGAAAATTGTTCTTTACGTCATGAAAGATTTGGTTCGGGCCGAAGTTCGCTTTAGAACGTTTTATCTCGACAGAAATGTTGACCCTAGAAAGGGTAGAGAGTAGAGGAGCATCAGTCATCCCGGGAAAACGTTTTCTTTTTTGGCAGGGAAAGAGCGGAAAACGTTCTTTGGGCAAAGAAATCCCAAAACGCACAAGCTACACGAAACCTGCAAGTGACTTCTTCGCCTACAAGTAGATCGAGGAGACCGAATTTGATCCTCTAGAGTGGTGGAACTTGCACCAGCACGGAGTTTCCGCAACTCATTCTTGTAGCGCACTTCGTGCATGCCTTCCCAGCATCAATAGACCGATCTCACCAGGAGTTGCGCGACGCCACCATTGCCGCAGTGCATTCTGGTACCTGGAGTTCTCCCCAGTTTTCCGGCCGCGTCAATGCGAGGTTGTATGCCCGGCGTTTTGGAAATTTTCGGGTTCGCACGAGACTTCTATTCGGGTGTTTAATCACTGTTTTCAATGGGTACCTTCACCTTTTGTGTGCCAGGGTGCTACAACAACAGTACCAGGCAAAAAAGTCTTTGAATTTTATGTCTTCCTGAAAGAAAGCGACCCCAAAAAGACTGTCCAAGGTGAACAGAGCCGGACAGATGGGCAGGAAAAAGAGAGTTCTTCAATTTTTTTCGCGATTTGCTTCGTAATTTATATCCAGCCCATTGCACGTTAGCTAAGAAGTGTTCGATACGTTGGAATCTCCTTGAGCACTCGTTCCGTAGCGGTCTATTCGTTGGTCTATATAAATCGAGACCCCCGCACTGCATTGCCGGGGGCTGTTTTTTAATACACCTTTTGCTCGTTGTATTTGAATGGTTATAAATGTAATTGCGACAACATGTCTCAAGCACAACTGTGCTTCAAAAGATCAGGGTACCCGTACGAAAATGTCAGATACAGGCCGGAATGAAAAATGCCGGTTCCGCCTGGACCCAGAATTGGGGCACCAGTTTTTATCCAGCCTAGGAATGCGCAGTTCCAGACGGGATACAAACTGGTGCCCCAATTTTAGACGGAACCGGCTGGTTCCAGTGGCGGTGCCCCAATTTCAGACCCCGGGCGGTGCGCCTCGCCCGAATTCTCGCTGCGCTCACCACTGGACTGTATACATACGTATTTCGCGCAATGCCCTTAGCCGTTACAACCGTGTGATCGTCGCGATTTCAGACCCAGGCGGACTGGGTTTGAAATCGCGACGATCTCGCTTGTAACGGCTAAGGGCAGCGCGCAAAATACTTTTGTAGTCCAGTGGTGAGCGCGGGTCCATATCACAAGAGCGAATGACATTTTAGCGAACGACGACCTTTGAGCGAATGGTCGTTTTAGCGAATAACGGGGGCGCGCGTTAACCCATCCGTCGCGCTGCGCTTTACGCCGCTTCGCGGCGACAGTCTGCGGCAACTCGTAACAAAAATATGAACTCACTTGGCCCACCCGAAAACGCCGCTTCGCGGCGTCCGACTATTCGCTAAAGTGTCGTTCGATGAAACGTGGGCGTTCGCTAAAACGTCATTCGATCAAGTGAGTGCCTCCCGGTGAGCGCAGCGGTAATTTCGGCGGCGCACACGGTCGTCCAGGCGTCGTCACCAAACACTGTGCACGGAACACACACACAGCACGCACAAGCACAGTATCCCGTGTAGAGTGCACCGGAAAGTTTTGGCGGGCAAACGGTATCCGAATTACCCAAGTATTGCACCGAGCACACCAGCGTCAAGCGCATCCAGATGCCGAGCCAAAGTGCAATAGGTCGGCAGCTTCACACTATATGAAGATTCAAAGCCGGGTGTTGTGACTGTCTTGCATTGAGAGATGACACGCGTCGCGTGTTGTACAGAACCACGGGCCACGTGGAGGCAAGACATGATCGGTCACCAAAAATATGATAAATAAATCGGCTTGAGGCGCTCGCCTCAGATCTAGCCCTTGTCACCGTCGGGATGCGTTGTTTGTCCTGTCATTCTCATCGGCAGGTTCTGGCCCGGAGTCGGCCGGCACCTTCCATGTAAGCACTCATCGATGCCACAAGCGCGAGACACATGCGCGAAAAATCTATCCCATCCGACGTCCGATCCGGCAGTACGACTGCCTGATCCGAAAAATTTGGTCGCTTCAAGCGCGAGACACATGGACGGCAGATTGGTCCGATCCGACAGTCCGAACGCCGCTCCGAATCGCCGTACGCGACAGTTTGAGACACACGCTTCCGACCTTGCATGCGACACGACGATCCGTTCGGCTCCGCCCAGGAGATCCAAGCACTTCAGCGGAGGTCTGCGTTCATAGATCTCTGGTCCCAGATTGACGGTTCAGCTCGCACGAGCGAAGTTAGGAGCTTGTTCTCGCTGGCGCGTGCATTCTTTGCTGGGGCCATCTCTCGAATGGGTCAGCTGGATTCACCAGTGCTGTTAAGTTTTTTTGGGCGAAGTCGCCAGGACGCGACCTAAAAGTCGCCAGTTTTAGCGAAAAGTCGCTGAGTGGTGATGATGATGATGACCTTTTCCGGATTTTTTTTTTTTTTTGTAAAACGTAAAGGTTTTTTTTTTTTTTTTTTTTTTTTTTTTTGTGACGAGACAAGTGAATAGTTGGAGTCGGGCGTCCCATTCCCAAGGACTCGCCAACACCTTGAGTGACTCAAGGCGTTGGCGAGAAGATCCTGGTCCATGAACAAAACAGCGGAAGCCTGTTCTGCTTCATCCTTATCGAACAAAACCCTCGCTTTAACCCGCGTTAAAGCGAGGGAATTGCTTCGGGGTCGGAGAACGTCACCTCACCCACAACCGGATGAATAAAAATTAACAAAAATGAGTGACATCCAGAGCTGTCCCCTGGAAGCCACCGGAGAGCTATCCAACTAACATATTTTCCCCCGTTCACGTAGCTTTAGTAACAATTTACATAACTAGAAAAAAAAAAAGTCCCCAAAAAAGTCGCTAAGACTCCAAAAACACAAAATTGTCGTTAGGACGACTGAAAACGCTCTAAATTTAGCGACTTTCTCGCTAAGTTCACACCACTGGGATTCACGCGTCCGGCTTCCCCTCGCCCGTCCCGTTATCGCGTTCGCTTCGTCCCGCCAGACCCAGTACGTCATCATGACGTTCGAGCTAGCTGCGCTGTCATTGGCTACACGAAACCCGCTGACCCATTCGAGAAAGATGGCCCCAGCAAAGAATGCACGCGCTATTGAGAACGAGCTCGTAATTTCGCTCGTGCGAGTTGAACCGTCAATCTGGAACCAGAGATGACCTCCAGGCTCCGGAGTCCGCTGGAACGCTTGGATCTCCTGGGTCTTGGCCGGAGCCGAACGGATCGTCGTGTCGCATGTAAGGTTGGAAGCGTGTGTCTCAAACTGTCGCGTGCGGCAATTCGGAACGGCGTTCGGACTGTCGGTTCGGACGTCGGATCGGACGATTCTGCCGTCCATGTGTCTCGCGCTATAGTCCCTGTTCACAGTGAGGTCCAAGGTGAGCGTTAGGCAAGGCTTACAAAATACAAAACCGAGGTCATTGGGTATCCATCCAGGGAAAACGATGGGCGCGTCAGTATCCGTGCGCCCGCAGCGCGAACGTCGCCGCCGGGCGAGCGCCGACCGACAGTCCGATGACAGCGAAGAACCTAAACTCTCGGACAGCTGCCGCCGACTGCAACAGACAAAGCGAGGCGCGCGTGCAGAGAACGCCCGCTCGCAGCGCCTGCGTAGCGGATGCGCCTGTCCTTAACACGTGACCTGCGAGACCGCGAAAGTTCCGCGCCGAACCCCCCTCCCCACTCTAGTCACTCATGTGCGCACCTGCTGGCTGGGAGTAGACACTACTGGAACCAAGGGGAACGGATAGGATCCATCAATCACCGTGCGGTTCCAGTGCATTGCGTCTCACTGGATCCGACTGGTTACACCCAGAACTGCGCAGTACCAGATCGGATTCGCGCGGATCTGAACTGTCCACAAGTTTAGAACCACGCGGCTCCGAACTGGAACCGCTCCAGTCTGACATTTTCGTACGGGTAATCACTAAAAAAAGAGCAGTTATGCCCTATATGCATCACTTGAACTAAAACAACTTTTCCGAAAGCAGTCTTCATTTTTCTTCAAGCAAAACATAAAAGCACCGTATAATGCAATCTAGAAGTGCAACACCTACCGCCAAAAAAAGTAGAAAACAAACCTCACCCACCTTATGGTGGTCTAGAGTCTAGGGCACCAATCGCCACGTAATCACGCTGCTGCCCATACTCGCTCGAAGAGCGGGCTCAGGTGATTAAAGGGAGACAGCTGATTGGTCCAGGTGCATGTAGCTTCCACTGCACTTTCGACATAGGGGAGAATTTTTGGGTTACGGCCCTGTGTACAAATTTGGTATACGTGTGCGCGTGTTTTTTTTTTTTTATCACATCCTGGGTGGCGGGCTGGCAGGCGCACTCGCGTACGGGTTTTAACCTTTCTGCACAGCCGTGCACGCCACTCAGGATCAGATTTTTTGTATGCCAATAAATATTATTATTATTATTATTATTATGGACCATAAAATATGTAGGAAATAGGTATCTCGGTGAGTTGATATACATCAATAAGACAAATGCTCGCTAAGTAATACTTTCAGAGACATGTTTATTTACACCACACATACGTGAACAGTGTTTCAAAAGTAACAACACCGCAAAAATTGTGGCGAGGAATTCTACATAACCTCGGTAAGAAAAAGAAAATCTTGAACAAAGGCGCTGTACTGTGACATAAAGCTCAATTTGCACGGAATGTATATTCGAAAGCTAAACACGCAATAAATCTTCGAAAATACTAATAAAAAGCAGTAGACAACATCAAGGCGATTTTGCCAGAAAAGCGAGGAAAAAAAGACGGCTGGTTAGGCAGTACGAAGATGTTCCCAGAGTTTTCATACAATCTGTAGTTGCACTATACAAGTATTAGAAACATGCAGAAACAGCTTCGCATGGCTTCATGCTTACAAGAGAACAGCTAACAATATAGTATTTTGTTAAGGTCTGCACCAGTCACGAGTCCCAATGATTCTCCCCAAAACAGCTCATTCCATCCAACAACCAGAAGCCATGCAGCCAACATATTTACACCACCCAAGTACACGGAGCCAGGCACACAAACAGACGCTCGTAGTGAAAAAAACCTCCGCCCCAAAAGCTGATGAAAGTCCTCGATCCTTCAACATCATATAAATATATATCTGAGACACGTGCATGTCGCATATATTACGCACCAACATAATACACGTTACTGATCCGCTAGATAACCCGTCAAGAGAGACACCAAACGTAACTGGCAACCAAACAGATCCCCTTTTGAACCTCCGAGTTGGCCGTGAACTCGAATCGACGCCCGCTAAGAATGTGGCTGGAAGTTCCTTGGGAAGCGTTTCTAGGAGCACGCCTTGGCTACGTGAAAAGGATGGCACCACCTAATCGCACTTGGCGGCAGGTGCACGGGCCTGCCCGTCTGGTGCTCCCTTCCGCCGGGGCACGGCGCCCCGTTGCACCCCAGTGCTTGAGCAGAAGTGTGCAAAGACCAAAAGGCGCAAGGGCCCACAGCTTGCACCATTCGTTGCTCGGTTCTGTGGAGACTCGGTTCCTTCCCGGAATAAACAAGGTGCTTGTGTAACGTACGTGCAGTGTGGCGTTGGAGCTCTGCGTCGGGCAGAGCGGAAAAGATGCAGTGGCCCCGCGAGCCTTGGGGAGCGGAACTGAGTCCTCGCGGCGACTGTTCGCGCCTGCGAGATCTCGAGCGACCTACATGAGCGAGGCTGTTGCGGGACGTGTCTTCTTGATCCTATGGGAGCCTTTTGGGTCAGCTGACGATAATGCTACACTCTCCAAAAATAAGACGCGAATGAAGTCTCGTGGCGGCCTTTGCTCAGGATGCACCTACTGGAGAAACGGGCACGCTCTCCCGAGTGAGAACTTGCCGAAGATTGCCTCGGAACACCGCATCACAGATGGCACTTTCACGCAGAGATACCGGCAAAAGGAAAGTACAACTGTGAACTGAAATGACAATTAGTCTGACGCTGTAATCGACAAGAAAAAGCCCTCGAATGCAACGAGATATCAAAGCATGCACAACACGCAGTGCCACTGTTACTCGGTGCAAGCATCCGACGAGATTCAAAAATGCCTCGGAGATTCGCTCCTCATGTAAAAACATTTACACAACAGAGACTCACCTTATGGAAGAACACCTACAGGGATACAAGCTATAGAACGTTGCAAGAGTAGAGCGTCTGACAACCACCAATGACATTTGTGTGTACACAGGCATGTTTATGTAGTATATGAAAAGCCTCCACTTAACAGTACTGACATCGGTTATCCAAGCATACTCACTCGTATATTAATACATGATTTAGCACGCAGTGTGTAACATAACACTGCTTCGGTGTGACTGACACAAAATAACAGACATCGGCTAATACTGAAAATGAAAAATAGTACACACTGACAGAATCATTCCATCACATATATCCTAAAATTTGAAATTTTAAAAATAAAAACTCTGCAATGTAAAGAAATGTCGCTCAAACTTAGATGTGGCTAAATCTACCTAATTGAGAAATGTCAGCTGAAGGTAGCTATTTGAGAAGAGAGACAGTGTTGTCCAAAGTAAAATCCATAAGAGATGAAAAACATGGAGCATGAGGAATAGTACCTACCACGTAACAGCTTTCCATTGGAGCCATTAAAAGTGGGCACCAAGAGAACACATTTCATTTGAGATAGAAAATAACTGTCTTTTTACAAAATACACCCCATCAGATCTTTGTGCATTGAACTAAATCCACTGTAATACTATTTCCATCATCAAAAGTTGAAATTTTAAGAAAGAAACAAAGAAAAACTGGCATCCTACAATGCACACAACTGTTTAGGGCATCTTCTTCTCTTCACCTCTGTATCTTCCCATAAAAATTTCTCTGACAGCAAACTACTACGGTATGCTATAGCAACTTTGGCAAGCAAATTGTAGTCATCTTGTTCAATGTGTATCACAGCATATTTCCGGATTGACAATGTTATATCTCGTGGCAGATGAGCCGAGTTTCTCAAAGCTGCAAACAGATAAGATTCTGCTGCAGTAAAATTTGGGTTAACAACTCGGCTTGCTGTAATGCACTTGATCAGAAGCACGGCAATTTGCGTTGCCACAGCTTGCTGTAGTATTTCCTCTGCAGAGCACCTCGTCTTGTAGCAGTGTGCTGGCAAGCTCCTTAAAGAGGAGGCCTGCCTTAGAGCCTGAGCAGCAGTATGCAGCTTAGCGAGAGGAGGGCAGGGATGGACTGGCTGCCCCAGAACCCGTAGCCGCCATTGGCTTGCGTGTAGTGCTGGGGGTCCTTCGTCCGATGGTAGATCTCATCCGAGAAGTCTCCGTATCCGGCTGCATTGCGTGCGGCGACACGGATGGCATAGCTCGTGTCGTGGTTCAGGTTCTTTAGCGTGTACTGAAGTCCATTTCCTAAAAGAAGGAAGAGAAGGGAGGGCTTGATGGAATTTCTATACATTACTTAAACACATCGTCAGGTGCTGCGATACCTTCGTGAAAACTCGTCACTTATTGAACCCCGTGATCACTATTATTCCGAATTTTGACAACTATCTACAACTTGTGGAAAGCAGAGGGAATACTGTCACGGGTGGTGACCAAAAGAGCAAATAAACAGAAAGAAATAAACGTTTAATGTGGCGAACCTGTGCCAAAAATAAATGTGTAAAAAAGATAATAACAGAGCTTCGCGGGCGTCAAAGTCGGCGTAACAGCAGGGTCGAACGCTGGGGCGAAACTGACCAACTGACTGTGGCTCGCCATGCGGAGCCCCTTATGTACATGCGTGGGCTTCTGGAATAATCGGCGCAGAAAGTTCGACGCGTACAACATTCGGACCTCGAACAAGCAACAGGATTCTCGAATGTACCAGAATACTAGTCGGCAGGAATAAACAAAAAGATGCGCCACTCCCAGGAATCGAACCCTGGCTTTTCGCGTGGGAGGCAGGCGCGATAACCGATAGGCCACGCGCGCGCTGCCTACTTGGCCAGTTGCGCGCGCGGCAATATGGTTGTCGTCCGACGAGTAAAACATACTTTGCCTCAGGAACAGTGGCGTCATGAAGGGGGGGGGGGGGGGGGGGTGCCACTGACCCTATAGTGACGCCACTGCTCAGGAATGGCAAGGCCCTTTGTGAGAATGTCAATGTGAGCATAGTATTCAGGACCTTCCAAAACCTGTAACACAGCACTGGTAACTCGGATGCTGGAGCCCGCTGACAGGGCAAAGAAAAAAGCCGGGCACCCAGGGGGCTCCGTCATTTACAGAGATAAATGTGTAACTTGTGTTGAGCACTAGAAAGGGTGATGCGAATGGCAGCAGTCAAAGGTTGGCTTAAACTGCACTGAGATTTGTATAATGTGCTTTAACATACAATGCAATTTAGAACAAGCGATGGGGCAAAATGCCCAAGGCCCTGTTTCAAACTGCTTTGGAAATTTTCTAATTTTTTACAAGAAAATTTTGGCAGTTACAACACTTCGGGAGGCTTAGATGTAAAAAAAAAATTGAAGGCTCCAATCCAAGCTGTGAAGATGGTTGGCCAGCGAAGCTATGGTGCCACCTGTAACGACTGCCCACTGCACTATAGACCCTTTTTATGGCAAATGCCACCAGGTGGTGGTTCAGTCTTTGATGTGCGAGAGAACTTTCGGTTTATAAAAAGAATGAGCAAAGGCCACTTTAACACCGCTGCTTGAAATGTAGATGAAACATTGAAATGTTCAACCACTAATCCTCCAGGTGAACTCCAAAAGAATGAAGGAGTGTGAGATCTGTTAAAATGTTTCGAGTATTCTTGTAAACCAACTTGCCTCCTCCAAGACGTAATATTGTACAGCCGAAAGCCCCTCGTTAAGTCTTTAACTTTGTTGTTCATGTAGCGTTCATGCTTTCTAGCACTGGTGACGTAAGCAAGCTCAACAGGCTTGCAAAGACGGTGCGACCTGAAGTCGCGCAGGTACAAACATGAACTGTTTACAAACAGTTCATGTTTGTAAACAGCAAAAGAGTCTACACCAAATGATTAACGAAAGAAAAGTAAACGCACTGTACTAAAAAGTTTTTATATATGAAAGACTTCGTACGCTGTTGCTGCAGCTTATGCAACCCCAATCTTTATCGAGAAACGCATGCAGGGAGCACTACGTGCTTCGCATTGGTAGCGGGGCTAGTGACGCCACTACACACTTCGTACTCTGCCACTGCCGCGACAGTTTATGGAACCGCAATTTTTACCGAGAAACACATGTGGGAAGCGCTACGTGCTTATCATCATTCGCGTGTACCTTATAATCTGTCACGTGGTTTTCTTATTGAAACAAGCGTCAAAACCATATGATAAATGATAAGGCATGTCCGAACAATGATAAGGCATGCACATAAGTTTTCCGTCAATGAACAAAAAAAAAACCGACCTACGAGTCATATACAGCTTTGCTGTAATAACAATGGAGTATGTGTGTCTAGCTTGAGTGGCAATGGATCTGCAATGTAAGGGTGCACACATTATGTTTTGGGGGAATGGGGAGTCAATCTTATCAACTGTAGCACTTCAAAAGGAATTGGCATGAGCTTTTGAAATGACCAGTTGCCAGCAGCACTCAAAGTCATAGTCCTTGTGCTGAATGGGATTGATTATGACATCTATTATAAGATTTCACAATCTATGTATTGGACCCAAATGTATTTCAAGTCCAAAACCTGTAAAATTATGGAAAGAAAAATGTTGTCTACATGTTTGTTCCTTTCTTATAAACTCGAACCTAGGGAAACCTCATGCGATTTATACTTTTATCCACCGTCGAACAGCTACGCTTAGATGATTTCGAGGCAGAAGAGATTGAGTACTTGCATGCCTTGTTTATTGAAGTGCCTAGTACTATATGATATGCTGCAGAAAGAACATCCTGGCGCACTGTGTTTATTTACAAAATGCATCGATCACAGAACTGCTTCTGTGAATGGCACATAATTTTCCCATTACCGCTGATGACTTTTTGTGATCTGTTACACCAATGCTGCCCAACCAGGCTTACTCATTACAGAGAGGGCAATGTTGTGGCTTTGTAGCAAGAATGCAGTGAATCACCACGACAAAAATATGGTCTTCAATTTTTCTTCAGAAGCATGGCAGTTCAGTTATAACAGTAAATGTAACGAGCAACCTAAGCCTGGTACAGTTATCACGATACAAAAGGTACATCACAAGGACTTTTCACTACTACTGCAATGCAGATGCTGCTTTCTAAACAATATACATTAGAAACATGGTTCACAACTGGGATATGATGTTTTCAAATGTACAGTTGCCGACCAACTTTTTCGGACTCTGCAGGAACTGCGAAGTCCGAAAGTAGTATATCTTGATATTATCGATATATAGTCAGAAGTATATCTTGATATTATCGCAATGCTTCCCAGTCCTGATGCTTGAAGATTGCACATTCCATGACAGCTAGTGCTGGGAAGTACGCACCGGTCTCATACTCCTGGGAGGCGGCGGTGTCCCAGCTGGGGTCCTTGTCAGTCTTGTACTCCACTCTGAAGCTAACCACCTTCAGGGGCTCCTTGGCAGGGTGCTCAATCTTGAGGACCAGGGCGCTGGGGTTTGACTCCACCACAGCCACCCGGGGTGCCTTGGGGGCCTCTGCAGGTGGGACGGACGACACTTGGAACCCAAAGAAGGCAGCGGCAGGCCACTGTCCCATTAACTAGCGCGGAGGATAAAACCACTTAGGCTCTGACTTTCTTCTCAAAGTCATGCCGAATAGACTGATCTCGCCAGCCAATTTGACTATACCTCTGCCGTTGTACAGCAATGCATTTGGGCTACGAAAGGTCAGTTCACGCAGAACCCGTTCCTGAAGTTGCGTTACGCTCGGGGAGTTAACATTTACTTAAACCAGAAGTTACCAGGATACTTGTGCCACATATGGAGCATGGCAACCCATTCAAGAGTTAGCTTTGCATGTGACAAACTTAGCGTGGATCTTCCGTTGATTTAAAGCTTAACATGAAAAAAAGCAGCCGTTCCTGCATGAATGGGCCTTTAGTCTTCCTGTGCGAGTGACAATTGCACCGAAGCTTCACACGTGCAGAGGCACAAGCAGCCTTCTGCACTGCCGCCTGCCTCCCGTGGACTGAAGTTAAGGCAGTGCCACGCATGCGCCAAATGCTCAACGAGATCGGTTTATTGGATCGACTTTTTCAACAGCATCCTGACTTCCAACCACCGCCAAGTTTTACTCCGTGGATTTTCGTATTTAGTTTTGCCTCACATTCAGTGTTTCTATTCATGTTTTCGAGTGCCTTATCGTTAGTCCTTTGTGGTCATTTTTCTTTTGTAAATTTTTAAATACATAAAACTTTGAACCAAGCTTGTTTTCTTCTTAGACCTGCATCTCATACAACGTCCTGAAAGAACCCATGTGGTGCACGGCGCAAAACAGTTGGCACGAAGAAGCGATTGCCGGTTTTTCCTCTTTTTCTATTACAACTGCTACTACTGTAGCGTAAAATGGTAATTTGGAACCCTACTTTAGCTGTAAAATTAAATGGCCATCAATACCATGTCTGAGTAAATTTCAAAGAAGTGCTCATGGCATGCTCACTTTAAACCTGTCACATAGTGTACATCTACAAATATATAAAACAGCACTCTAGACAACTTGCATATACTGTAAACGACTCAATTCTCGCGGGCTCAAATTTTTCCGAATCGGGCCAAAGCTGAAATTTTGAAATTATTCGCAGGTTCTAATTTTCGCGAATCGAGTGTACCTTTCGTAGCGTTCACAAATTGCCGGTATTGTTCGCGGTACGGATTGTTTGCGAATTGTAGGCGATTCGCGAAATTTGCGAAAATTAAGTCCCCGCGAAAATTGAGTCGTTTACACTAACTTTATAGGGCACATCAAAGCAAATGCATCGTAGCATTCTTCTGTATGAATTTTGGAATTAATGAAATGTGTGATGATTTGATTTCTGAAATACAAATGCCTGCATGATAAGAAATATGTTGGTAATTTTTATCCCCTCCATGTCACATACAAGTACTGGAGCTACTTACTTCAAGAAGAAAGTTTAGTGATGCTATGTATAATGTTGTTCATTTCACTTGGGGTACCATATTCAGAGAGGCTTTAGAGACCTCCTGAAATGTCTGTTCGAACACATGGGTGAACAAGAACCAGAGTACAGGATGTTTTCAATACCCAAGTTCGTTCTAAAGCTGGCCAGATAAACCAAACCCTGGACGTAACAATCTAGAATTTTTATCGGGGTTATACTTCAATGGTGCATTTTACCTTGTGAATTTTCAAGGTATAGCTCCCTCCGTGTGGAAAAAGAGACCACCATCCTCAATAATGTCAATGGCCAGCGAAGACGCAGGTAACTAAGTGAGCAAGGGTTGTACTTGTGGCGCTATCTCCCAACAGGCACAGCGAGCAGACGACAGCATCGCATGCTCGCCTAAGCTGATTTTACAAGCAAGCCTGGGTATTCGAAACACCCTATATTATGAATAACCTAACTTCACCTCAATCTTAGCTTTTGCTAATTCAGGTAACAAAACTTAAGACAAATTCACGAGGGACCTTAGTGAACACTAAGGTGACATGCCCGCTAATCATCCTTCTATGTAGAGCGCAAGTTCGTCTCAATCTTGCGCAGGAATTGCATGGACGTCAGAGCATTGAACTTAGATTGGCTCTAATGGAGAGATACTGAGTAAACCTCAATGCTAGCTGCCCTGAGGTCTACCCACTATTCTTCCGATTCGAGCCAATCAGAGCTTGGTGTTCTGACATCACCATATCCCCTGCTCAAGAAGCAGACAAACTTGTGCTCTGCATTGTAATATCTTTTAATTTTGCGCATTATAAGATTTTAATAGACACTTTAATTCTGAAATTAAAAGATTTTATTTATAATAAAAAGTGCTAGATTGCAAAGTTTATACAGGCATTGTAGTATTTTTTTCTCATCTGCACGTTCCTTTATATACTATATTTTTGTTAATGTGAGAATCACATTTGTTTGTGAATGTCTGAATTAACATTCAGGCATTTGAGCCACGCAAAAAATGATGGGGAAAGCAAAGTATACTGTAAACAACTTTGTTTTGTAGCGTGAGCTACACTGGCCGAGGTTGAGCAGTTTCGCGTGGCTTGCATAATGAGCCGTGCTCCGAGGTGCGCATGCGCGAGGAGCAGTGACGTCACATGGCGCACAGCCGCCGCGCTGGAGCCGCCGCGCGCTCTGCCACTGCCGCGGCAGATGCACTGGCGCTGCCGCGTGCCCAGCTGTGCGCCTCCGTTGCGCAGTAGCCAAGTCCAATGCTGCACCGGAGCCGCTTGATAGCGCCTCTCATTTTGTGCGCATAATAAGCTCACGCCACACATATCATGGCATAGCCAAGCTAAGCCACCGCAATTTTTGTTTTACGGGTCAAAAATTTTGTAAATTTCGCGAAGCGTGGGTTTTGGAAAAGTCTGGCTGACACACGATTCCACAACTTGAAGTGATCTGTAACGCATGCGCTAACCATGGGGCTGATATACCCGCATGATAAATTTTTTGTGATCTATTTAACATAGAAAATTTCTTGAAAATTACATCGCTGACTGTAGTCTATGGCAATAGACAAGAATAGGATGCTTACCTCCTTCTTTCAGCAGAATGACATGCTCCTGAACGCCCAGTTCATTATGAACTCTGCACGTGTATTCCCCAAATTCGGATATGTCTGTAACATTGATCTGTGAAAAAAAAAAGAGCATTTCACTTTTGAGGTCTTTGTATCCCATCTGCAAAAAAAGAACTGAAATCTTTTTGATTTTAATACTTAAACTAATGTACATATACTAATAATAGAAGCATGCTTTAATGTCGAAGTTCACTAGAAATCCACAATCTGAATGTAGAAATTGAGACGACCTTCAGGTAGATTTTGATGCCAAATTGAGAATGAATGAGAAACTATAAATGACAGCCATGTTTATCTTGAGCAACAGTAAATGAGTATCAATGAGAAAAACAAAAAGTCAGCAAAAACACTTAAGACAGCTTATGTGTAGGAATGCTGTTGCATTCCTACATGCAGCACATTCCTACAAGCAGTGCGCCACGTCTTCCTTTTTCACACGGAACGCTACCTCACTGCGCAGGCGCGGCAAACCCCGCCGGCTCCATGGCTTTTGTGATTATATATGCATCTGCATTGCTGTGCTTTTCTTTGCGTCTTATTTCTGAGGCACGTCCGCTTTGACCTTCAGTGCCCCGCCGGCTTCCGGGACGAAGAATCTGCGTTGCTGTGCTTTTGGCCATTAGCTGCCGTTTCACTGCTACAGACGGTTACAGACAATGCCGCCTTCGCTCCATGGGAGAGTTAATGCTTTCACATTAAAAATAACAACAGTAGCCCATTGAGCATAAAAAAACTTTTCTAGACACCTTCTACCAAGCTACAGTGAGGAGGTTTCTTCCTCTATATTTGAAGGGCAATATGGATACATGTACAATTCAAGGAGGGCTATTACCTTTATCGTTCAAGGTTGCTCTCCACTCAGCCTATTATAAGATATACACATCCAAACATAGCCCAGGAAGTATAGCCAGCACAAGCTCAAAACGAGTACATTTCACTTTCAATTTGAACTGGGAGATTCTTTTTTGAGCATTGATAAGATAAAACAAGTTCTACCCAAATTTAAAACCGCCCCTCCACATATGCGGCAAGCACCCAGTTTGTTACCAACTTTTGCAAACCTGCGCTTTTCTCCAACGATTTAAATCAGATAACTCGGTAATTTTGTGTCAGATTAAACTGATCTCCTATACTGAAGCTCTGGGAGGTCCAATCAATCTACACATTTTTGGTACACGGTGCCATAACTTCGAAGTGCGAGATTGCTTGAGATTTCCCTAAAGTTGGCTTCCCCCGCATTGAAAACTACGCCTTTCCAAGGATTTCAGCTTCTCTGGTGCCACCCATCGGGTGGCCATAGAACACTTAAAGGTCTTACACATTTTTTTTTTTTTTTGCGTGTATATGTGTGTGTGTGTGTGTGTGTGTGTGTGTGTGTGTGTGTGTGTGTGTGTGTGTGTGTGTGTGTGTGTGTGTGTGTGTGTGTGTGTGTGTGTGTGTGTGTGTGTGTGTGTGTGTGTGTGTGTGTGTGTGTGTGTGTGTGTGTGTGTGTGTGTGTGTGTGTGTGTGTGTGTGTGTGTGTGTGTGTGTGTGTGTGTGTGTGTGTGTGTATATATATATATATATATATTATATTCTTTTTATGGCTTGAAAAACTTTTGTCAATGTTATAAACAACAATTTCTTACAGATAGTGCGTATACATTTGACCTTGCAAAAACCGCAAAACCTTCACTCTAGTGAAGGTTTTGTTCCTGTTCCTGCATGGATGGCATTGAGTTTTGAGTTCACAGAGGCATGATCTCTCGTCGTAAAAAATTTTAAGAGGTTTTAAGGCACCCGGTTTTAAGGAGTTGCAAGTGTGTGAACGGACAATAACAAAAATATTTTTCTAGAAAAACACATATATTTAAAAACAAAAAATTACCACAAAAAATAAATTTGTTTTAGCAATATTTACGCCGCTAGACGCAATTTAGGTGCAGAATGTGGAGGTCGCAGCCTGCTAAGCCCTGCCCCATGCCATTGGCTGGAGAGATGATTGACATGTGAAAGGTTGGTTGTAAATTTGTATCTCCGTGCCAGTAGCATTTTAATCGACTATTTTTTTATGTTTGAGAAGCAACTAATTAATATAGAGTCATTGATGTTTTCAAATGTATAATGAAATTGCTTCTCCCACTTCAGCTTAAAACATTAACAAACATGGCTGCCGGCGTCTTCAGAGTGCTGAATGTGTGTAGCTTGTTGACCTCGTCGATTTTTTATGAGTAAGGGTTGTTTTGAGTTTACAGAGATGTTTAGAGGAATATCTCATCAGCCAACATAGTTTGGAGCAAACAACTGTCGCAAGTATGCGCCTTCGGAAGCGCTGTGCGGACGCTTGTTTTTGTTGAGGGACTGGCCTAGGCCTAGTGTCTCTATTTCGATTGATCTGGCTTGATTTCTTTCTTTGCGCGTGTTGGTGATGAATAAAGATGTTGGTTCCCGTAAAAGCAGCCCCACCACTCTGTAAATTGTGCAACCGTCATAATTGCAGCCATGGTTTTAATGCCGAGGAGATACCTACACAGGTTGGAATTTGTGACCCATTTGGCTGGAGGTAATCGGGCGTTCGGCTCGCATCAAGTTAGTTTAGGTATGTTCCCATCATTTCATTACAAAAGGCAAGTAGCTCTGAAGTTTTGCAGTGCACGTGGCCTGCCAAAGCGAATAATTTTACATCCTGTTTTAATTGTGCGTCATGACGCTCTTTCGCCTTGCTCATGGATGCCATGCGAAAAAATAACAAGAACATAAAAGCTGAAATGCCTGCATATTTATTTTGTTACTTTTTTTTAGTCCTCTCGGTCGCTTTTTACCACACATCGACAGGCACTGACAGACACTTACTTACACTGGACCATCGGCCACGCATGATGGAATGCTAAAACGCCACTCTTATGGTCGCGTCTTGCAAGCGTAAAAGTTTTTAGATGGGAGCGGAATAGCAGACGGACGAACACAAAAACGGACGCCGATGGGCAGCGTTCATGTCCACGCCCTTCGGGCATGGCAGATGATGATAGACGGTGGTGAAATAGCAGATGATGCCGGAGGCTGCCACGAGTCTGCTCACAGAATTAGCAGGCGTTGTTAGACACCAGACTAGACGTGCCGGGTGTCGGGAGAGGGAGAGACCTGGCTTGTTAGCATGTTCGGCCAAGCAGCCAAGACAATCCAGTAGTAATGGGCGAAGCAACTGACTTGTTGGCGGGGCTTAGAATGGGCCATGACATCCACCTAAATTGCGTCTAGCAGCGTAAATATTTCGCAAAATTGTTTTTCTTCTCATGAAAAAATTGCAAAAAGTTATGTGTCCCATCTACCGTAGAATACCGTACATCTGCCGATTCCACACTAAGCGCCCATATCCAAATTTCTAAGATCTGAGAAAATATGCACAGTACATTGATATGTAAAATTGATGACCGGACAAACACCCATCCCCCATTTTGTTTGTGATTATCGCTATATATTGAGTGGGCGTTTGCCCGGTATTTTACAATATGCACTTTAAAAAAAAAACTTAATTTTTTTTCATTGCAGAGTTAGTCTGCACTTTTTCCCGGATTACAGCTTCTCACTTGCAGTGTTCATAAGAGCATCAATGTGCAAGTGCTAAGCTGTGCACATTGGTGCTATTAGGTACTACACTTCCCATTAATTCTTATTGAGCCCGGCCTTGCTGTCAGTGTGAATGGGCTTACCATCTCCAGATTATGAGTTGAAGATTAACTATAGTTCTGACAATCCAGATTCTGTTTCAGCAGTATCCAATTTCTCATAGTCCTAAAAATTCTTTCATCCTAGTACAGTTTGTACTCATGCAAATTAAAGTAGTTGAAAGTTAATTGTTGAATTAATACTGCATGTGTTAACAGAATACCCATTTTGGAACAAATAATATTGAGGGGCAACATATAGTTTCAAAAAAGGCAATATCAGTAACAATGCAGACCTTTAAAATTCTGAGCTTCTTAGCACATGGTCTATGAAAAAATGGTGCTAAATGTTTAGGAATACTCTCTTCATGGGCCATAAAGCCATTGTTTGTTATTCATCAAATGGTAAGAGAAGAAATAACTGAAAGGAAAAGAAGTAGTTCTATCTAAAATGCTTTGAACAACTGACATATATTGTGATGTTTTAAAAAAAATTATTTTTTCCATGTCCTTAATATTATGATGAAATGTTTCAGTGCCCAAAACCTTGTCAGGGCATAACGCCTTATTGCTCACATAAAAAAAAGAAAAGGCAGGTAATACACAACAACCAGCTTCGCACACAGGTGTGCTTTTTTTATACATATTCATTTTATCAAGTCAGATTGACCCTCGAATCGAGCCTTCAGATGGTGACGACACCATAATATTTGTGCCTGTATTACACCAACATGTTCACAATCAATTCATTAAAATATTGGCAGAGACCAAAATACTGCTTGAAGTCAAGTATGGAGGAAGGTCTCACCCTGAGTGTGCTAGAGCCCACGTCCCCGTTGATGTCATGTTCATCGTCTGATTCAATCATCTGGCCGTCGCGGAACCAAAGGATGGTTGGCTCAGGCATCCCACTGGCGTCGCAATTAAAAATGGCAGTCGATCCAAGTCGGGCATAGGCGGCCTCCTGGATCGGAGGCTTCCACTCGGGGCCATCTGCAGTGTGTCATCAACATTTCTTGTTACATTTTGTTCACAGCTGAAGTGCAAACTCTAGAGGCTACATCAAACCATGTAGATACACTTGTAACTTCTGATTCAAAACTACTAGAACTGCAGCTGGTATTTTGCATGTGCTCAAAGGAATTCTACTTTAAATCTACTATAGAAAGGCATTTTGGCTCTCATATCAAGAGGAGTGAAGGGTTATTTTAAACGATAGTACCTCACTTAAATACCCAATATCAGAGGCAGTCACCATTCTTGTGGTGCTGGCAAAGGATATGTTATTTTATTTTCATTATTGGGCCTCCTAGAATTTGTATGCCAGTCCAGCTGAAGAAAAGGCTTCATACCTGAGAATATATGTGCTCTCATCAAATCTTTTTGGTTTATAAAACTCATAATCAATTGCTTATTTGTAAGAACTGTCTAACATCTTATGCAAGCTGTGTAACAGGCAAGTAAAAGCTTTAACTTTCTGTTCCCATTTTGGGTGCCAAAGATATGAAAAATTCAAATGCAACAAAGGCACTTTCTTAACTTTTTCCTGACCGTGCCCATAAGCCATCAATCACCGGTGATCTATGGTTTTTAAGCGCGGTCAAGAAATTAAGTTTAGGGCGGAGGATTATGTTCCAAAATCTCAGGGGTAGCCGAAGAACTGTAGTTTCAATTTCAACTTGAGTTTGAGTTTTATCACAAGCTGGCGGCCTGCCAAAAATAGTATTGGGAACGGTGGTTGCACAAGTCTAACAGTGCTAACTGCAGTGTTGGGTAAAGTACATCTAAAAGGTACTTCAAATAAAGTACAAAGTAAATGAGACAAGATGTACTTGAAGTAAAGTAGTAAGTACACTAGGTGCAATGTACTTGAAGTAAAGTGCTATAAATACAGTGTACTTTCAAAGTAAAGTACAAGTTTTTTAACACAATCTTTCATGATGCCCTTTCATTCCCCCGTGCAGTGATTTTTTAACTGGTATGCATTGCCCAGGGGTAATCAGGGGTGTGTGACCTATTTTCAGAAACAGCGGCGAATATTTGATAAAGTCAAGTGGCACAAAGTAGGTATTTCCAGGAATAGAGCCAAATTCAGAAGAGGCCTCTTCTGAATTTGGCGCCCCTTGCACTGGATTGTGAGGTTAGGTGACAACCCAACCAATGTTCGTCGGCTGGGTTGAATGCTTTACTTTATTTGAGAAAACTGACTGTCTTTGCTGGCAGGATGCCTCCATGTCACAGCCAGCACTGGATTGTTGCACCCAAGGGGGTTAAATGTACTAGAAGAGAGCATGACGTCAGCCCCGTATCTCCCGCAAGCAATCCTCTCATAGAGGAGTGTCCTCTCCTTAATAAAAAAAACAGTGAGTGTGCAAGCAAGCTGGTGATTATTAATCATAATGTGACACCTGAGATTGGGGTCCAAAACTATTCAGGAACTTTCAAATAGAAGGAAAAGACAAAAGAGAATGTCTCAGAACATTGTGACGTTCTCCTCTGTTGTCATTTACTTCGATTTCAAAATTTAATTTTCCAAATTTAATTTTGCTCTCCTTATATTTTAAACCTCCTCGCTTGCGCCAAACGAGCAAGGAGTAGCGAGAGTTCAAAAAGCTAAGGGAAAGCCGCCCCCCAAACAAACGGAGCGATGCGCCGTCTGCTCATGTTTCTGGTGCGAGTAGAATATCCCTCCCAGTATTTCTTTGGAGTTGACAAAGTGGCATTTCGTGATACAAATTTACCAAAACCAAATTTGGGGAATGTACTTTGAAGTCGGAAATTGTACTCTCCTCGAGGAGTAACAGAAAAAGATACTTCAAATAAAGTACAAGTACATACTCAGAGAATGTACTTCAAGTAAAGTACAAGTTTCTCAAACCTACTTGAAGTAGTACTTTAAGTACAATGCACTTAAAGTACTTCCCAACACTGGCTAACTGCTTGCATCAGTCTTTGTAGCAAAAGATGGCATTATTATATAATTAACTGTATTGTTTCATATTTTTTAGAGCTCAAGAGCTCTGAGGACTCTTTAGATGATGTCATAGATGTAGCTTAACAGAAGGTTGTCGGTAAGCATCACTATAATTTCCACTGCTGCTCTAAGCTGGCATGCACGTTTTATGTTCCCAACAAGCTGGACAAAAATGCTAAATATGAAGGAACTGTAATCAATAAAGCTATGACAAAATGAAGGAAGAACACAAAGAAAGCATTCTGCTGGGGATGTGAGGTATACTATCTGTGCTTCACCAATAAAAGCATTCCTTCGTTGAAAAGCACATGTGCTACGAAGGATAACTCTTTGATGAACCAAAAATAGACAATGTTAGTTAGAGTATACTAAGTTTTAGAAGTAATAGCCGTGGGTGCAGGGCACATTTTGTATTTTTGTTCTATTTTTCATTTAATTTAAATAGCTGTAGAAGTTTTGGCGTTTATACGTGTTCTGCACATACACTGTATTTTCAAACAAGAAAATTTTAAAATTTTTTTCCCACATCATACTGACCTGTTTTATTTTATTTTTTTAAAGAAAAACTAGCTGGTCACATGTAGATGTGTCACATTGCTCCATATGCTAATTAGTTAGGAAAATAAAAGCGTTTGCACGGATCCTTTGAAATTGGTACTTTTCCCGCAGTCAGGAAAGAGTTAAGGCATGCATACTGTCAATGACTGCTAATGTGGCTATATTACAATAAAACATCACTAAAACATCCAAGACCATAAAGCCCTCATGTTACTTTCATAGTGCAAGAATTTTTAATGCTTATCTTTCCACCTTGATGGGCAAGCATAAAAAGTTTGCACCATGGAAAAGGACATGCCAGCATCACATACCACAAAGACATAGCTACGACATGTGCACTCTCTCAGCTTGGCTTTCTAAACGAAGCCTGCAGAAAACTGACACTGGGCACTTGGAGGCTCAAGACATATTATTACATCAACACAGAGAGACAAAAAATAATTTAGGGTCATCGTATGTGCAACTAGAAAGTAACTTGGTGTTTAGAATTATGTAAACTTTTGAGAAATATGCCACACATTTTATTAAGAAACAGATTATGATGCTGACATTATTTTGACACAGCTGCCTCCTGGAAAATTATTGCGAAGAACATCCTATATCTAATAGCTTGGGCAAAAGGCTTGCCTACAGCAATTAAAATGACTCTGCAAAAAAATAATAAAAAGTTTCTTGTCACCATAAACATTATTTTTCACTTGTTTTGTTTCCACATCCTCAGTGTCCTCCCAAACAGAGTATTTTATGTTGTACGCCCACTTCTATGAAACCTGCACATCTAGGAATAAATATATGAACCATTTCCAAAATGTTTCTTTCATTTCCAGAGATAAAGAGTATCTCTTCATTCCTGTTATTAATTTTTTGTGCACTTGCGACAAGATGACCACCAGGAGCGTCAATGTAGACTAATTGGAGTCTCGGACACATTACTTACAGTGAACACTGAGGGTGATGACCTTGTACTTGACAGCCGAAAGGAGCGCAGTTGCCAGGTAAGCATTGCAGGTGTAGTTCCCAGCGTCGTGCCGCGACAGATTCCTGATAAGAAGAGCTTGGTCTTCAATCTTGTACTTTTTGCCTGAAAACAGAAATGAAAAAAAAAAATTCTTAGAAAGTTTGCATTGCTGGAACCATGAAACAAAACATATGTGCAATAAAGTCAAAATGCTCCCAGAACTTAATCCTTTTATGGCCTTGCAACTGTTACAAATTCAAGGACTTTCACTATTTGCGGTATAGCCCTTGCAAGCCACCTTATGGCCTTACGAAAATTATGCGCGGGTTTTCCATGTCAACTTGCACATCATGGTTACTTTTCACTAATACAGTTCAAGCCGGGGTTTTTCTCTCTCCTCTCAAACTGTATTGAGTTATCCGTCAAGCAATGATAGAAGGTGTTCAGAAGCATTTTTTTTCTCCTTTTTTTTAAGGTTGTTATTTGGGTCATACTGTTTGTTAGGAATATATGAGACTTGAAACAATATAGTTGCCCTACTAGGAGCTCTAGACATTGTGAGCAAGCACTAATTTCTTCTTATAAATACCTTCATGAATTATATTATTACCCTGATCTCACATCCACTATTTATATTCAGGTTCAGAGACAGTATATGTGAGTGTTTGCAAGATTATCTCTATGCAATAGTTGCAAAAGGCCCCAAGTGTAGTGAATACATTATTGACATGTTTAACTCAACTTTAGTAGTGTTTATAACATTCTTGGATAATCTCTAATATACCTTTTGTGAATTAAGGTATTAGCTTCTCATGAGTGTTAAAATAAACAAACTAATTATTTAATTGATAAAGTCACATTTGTTTTACCACTTTCCTCGTGCACTCCGAACATGGGAAGCAGCTAGTATAGTGCACCATCCACATGCACTTAGACATTCGAAAGCAACATTATTCCAGAGGCTCTCTTAACCTATATCAGTTTGGCAAACATGAGCCCAACCTAGCAAGGCTCAAAGGTGAGCACAAGCAATTGCATGCATTCTGGAATTTAATTGTATCTGGAAGTGGCATCTGGGCAGAAGAGGTGACCATTGCAGAAAGTTGAGCAGCTCCCCTCTGCTGTGAACTAATTGCCTAGATAATTCTCTAACTAGTCCGTTGTCTTCTTTGTTTGACTCCGCTTTCGATAACATCAATACAAAGGTACATGCTAAGTTCTCCTAGCTGTCTTTGCGCTATTAATTTTCTGTGTCATGAATACCCATGACAATAGCAATTTTAAGACTCTACCATATATAAAAAAGATAGTTGTGAAAGCATACAATTCAACAGTCTGCAGATTTCTCAAGACTTACTTTTTTCAGAAGAAAATTTTGGCCATTCCAATGAATGGGTGCGCTACTTTTTAAAGAAATCACAATCAATGAAGGTCAGCTTTGCTGTGGGTGCAGGTTTGAAAGTCTTTTGCCATTAAAGTACCTTAAAGGAAGGTAACCCAGGCAGTTGCATAAGACAAGGTAGCAAAAAGGGCATCAACAACAAGCTTATTTATATATATTGAGCACAATAATGTTGTTGAAATACTTAAATTTCTTCCCTGCAACATAATGAAGATGGATGAGCTGTTGAATAAAACAACATCAATGTCAAGTGCCTAGGATACCACTCGGAACGAATTTGACCCCGGTTCAATTTGAATGCACAATAAACTTGGGAGGCATACTGTTCTTAATGGTCTTGGAGTCCCTGTTCCAGGAAACAAATGGCTTAGATTCTGCCTGGGCATTGCACTTGAGGAGGAAGTCTTCTCCCTCTGAACCAGACTGCTTGTCAGGGGTCCCTTCAAAAGTGATGGCTCCTGAAAGAAAAGTGAGTAAAAATGAGATTGTGTGCCTTGCTCAACCTCTGCCTTCAAACCAGTCATGTACATGTCACTCGAAAAAAAAAGTAGTTGACTAAAATTACATTCACTCCAGGTTCAAAAGTACTGAATTAAATTACTTGAGCAGAAAAGTAGTTGACCATTATTTAAAAAAGTAACCACTACTTTTAAACTTACTCCAAACTTTAAAAATGACAGATTTTCCTGTCGGTTTGAAAGTAACATTAATACACTAATTTTGGGAAACCATCCTCCAGTCAGAGACTTTGTTTGAGGAATCCTTCGCAGGAAACTTGCACAAACGAAGGGCACCATCAGAAAGGAGAGGAAAAAACAGTAAATTAACATAGAAGTTTAGGCTAGTTGGTATGCAGACATAATAAAAAACAAAACAGTGCTGTGTCCTGTCGGTTACCTTTTACTTTGTCTTCGTCTTTGCGCTGTTTTGTTTTTAGAAAATAATAACAGTTACAAGTAATTTTAGTGCTTCCAAAATTGATCGGATTACTCTTGTGATTACTTGCTAATAAATGTAATCAAATAATTAAAAAATTACTAAAAAAGGTAATTTATTATACTGTACAAGTCTGCACCAAACACACAAGCTCATGATGTTGGTGTGTAACATAATGACAACTGACTGAATTTCACCTTTAACAAATACCTTGGTCCTGGTAATTTTAGAACCAAAGTATTATTTTTGACGGACTGGGTGGTGATGTAAAGGCACATGGCAGAATATTTTCTTTTCTTTCTTTTCAGAGGGATGGTGCGAGACAATTTACTGTTGTGCACCAGCCACCAGCCCCAATGTAAATTAGATGTTGCAATAACCAGTAGTTTTTGCCCTCAGTTCAGGTCCTCTTAGCATGTTTGATATGAGTGAAGATAGTCTGGACCTATTAGAGGAAGCCCGAAGGGCATGTTTCATGCTAGAATAGAATATCCCCTAAAACTTCAAAACAAAATAGATTTTTTTTAGTTCAATATTGTGTTTTTAATTTCAGCGAGAGGAGGCATATTTTGTCTACAGATTGGGTGCATGAGCTTTTCCTGTTTCCTGAAAAAATTAACCTTTTCATTGAAAAAAACCTGGTTTATAATTTATAAAACAGGTTAGAATTAAGTTGGGAAATGAATGAGATTACCGTAAAATACTGGGGGAGCGCCCACCCCGTTTTTATTGAAAACTGGGTTAGTCTACTAGGCATGGGCGCTTGTCAGGTCAAATCGGGCACTTCATGTAGAATAGGCAGAATTCCCAAGTTTGGGAAATGTTAAGAGTGGGCGCTTGAACAAAGCGGGAGCTTCCACACTTTTTTACGGTAGTTGCAATTATGGCTGGACTTGCCACTGGGTTTTATATTTAGCACATTTAAACAAGCCTGTATTTTCGCCACACTCAGAATTTATATTTTACACAAGGATCTTGATTTTCTGTGGCTTCCAGGTAAATGCCTACATTATGTCTGCATGTTTACTTTCTAGATGTACAGGGTGTCACAAAAGAAAATTTATGCGGTCTTTTTTACCGCAAAAATAAACTAGGCATCGCCTAACGCTCATTCTCCGCCCAAAGGTAGCGCTAGAGGTGACAACCAGGTGCCAAAGTTTCAGCCCGATCCGATAACTTAATCAAAAGTTAGGACTGATTTTCTGAAAATTTCAATGGGAAAATGGCGGCCGACAGAGTTTTCGAATACATGGGGCTCTATGGCACCAGAAACCGAAAACAAGCAAAAATGGGCTCCATTTTCCCATTGAAATTTTCAGAAAATCACTTATAACTAGGGCTCCGTGTTTTCAAAGTTTATTTTTCGTGAAATTCGGAGGATGTTTTTGGAGTTTATTTTTTAGCAACATGTCGGTGTTTATCCGAGTTTATTTTTTGTAAATCCCCAATTCTTCGAATTTCAGAGATCAATTTCGCAGTGTTTCCTATTAAAAATAATAAATAATAACTAGATGCAAACGTATGCCAGATAAAATATAAAAAGTGCTTGTATCAATTAAGATTTCTTCTGTTGAATTTGGCGTTGGTGTCATTGGCAATACTAATTTGTCCCACGACAAAAGTCGCACACGAGTGAGGCTTTGATAAACGTCGATACCTTAAAATCAATAAACTGCTGAAAGTAGCCGCAAGGAAGCTCATAGTCATCCCATCAATCTATCCCGCAGCCGCGCGAGGTGGAGTGATTCAGAATGTAATAGAGAAGTTCCAACTGCCCCTCTTCCCTATTTTAGACAATCTCTATGGTCCATAGCTTTCACTGTTACCCCCAGAAACATACCCTCTCCTTTCTTTAAAACCCAAATCCCATGGCCCAAACTGGAAACCAAAAGAGTGGCTTTTGTCGTGACACGAATGATACGATGACCTGTTTCCCTGAACCAACCTTGACGAGACAAGCCGTAAGACCACCTTTTTCACAACGGTCCGAGGCTTGAAAGATAATATTGGTGTCATTTTCCCAGGACCATTAATCCTGCACTGCTCAAATTTAAAAAAAAAAAAAAAAAAAAAAAAAAAAAAAAAATTACTTTTGGGGGGGGGGGGGGGGTGGCACGGGCACATAACAATTCGGAGTTTATCGGATAAATATGAATTGATAAAAATTTTACCGGAGGGTGTTTTTCAGAGTTTTTCGGATTTATCCGAAAACACGGAGCTTTACTTATAACTTTTGATTAAGTTATCGGATCGGGCTGAAATTTTCGCATATGGTTATGAGCTCTAGTTCTACCTTTGGGCGGAGAATGAGCGTTCGGCGATGCCTAGTTTATTTTTGCGGTAAAAAAGACCGTGTAAATTTTCTTTTGTGAAACTCTGTTCATTGGACTAAGCCTAGCAATACAATTTTATAGATAAGTGTTCAGCCTCCCCTGTGTTCACTAGCTGTGTTCTGCAACCGCTGTCAATACTGGTATTGCTGCCAAAGTCTGTAGGATGATGTTTTTGATGTTACCAATCAGAAATCAACACCAACAATGTGCAAGCATTGATTAGGTAGCTGAGCAAGCATTATCATTGGTTGAGAACTTGAGATGGACAGTTATGCCTAGCGGGCTATGTGACTGATGCCCAACCACAAGGGGTATGCTTATGTGACTACCTCAAAATCCTAAGGGGCGACCACCCGAAATGAAGAGATAAATGGTGACAAACATCAGGTGGGCTATCTTTGGGGATGAGACAGCAAAACTTTATCAAACATTAAAGATAAACACAAGCGGCACCGGCTACAGAACACATGACACAGGGACTGATACTGCAGATAGCGGACACGGGGAATTCGCGTTTCACAATAATAAACACGCGGTAATTTCTTGCGAACTCCTGAGGAGTCACTGAACAGGATACTGCAAACTGGGGATGCAGCCAATTCGTGTTTTACGGTGCAATAAACCCGCGGAAACCGGCTAAATCTGTGTGCCACGGGAACCGATATTGCGCGCACAGATCGCGGACAAAAACCCGGGAACCCGCTGCAAACCCGATTGTCACATGTACCGGTACCGCAGATCGCGCGGTTAATGTGATTCCCGTCGGACATCGCGTGATATCCGACGGAAATGGGGGGGGGGGGGGGGGGGGGGGGATGTTTTGAAATTTTCATGTTACGAATATTTGGCCAGAAAAACGGGATGGGCAACCTCGGGGGCGAGGGCGCCTTTAAGGGGATTTTACATATACATTTTCATCTCTTCGCACTAAGCAATGAATATATCTACTGATGCGTCAGCCTTATTAATGGGATCACAGTGTTCTGGGTGCCATGCTTATGACATTCATTTATGGAATATCTTAAGTAAAATAATGAATATGTCAACTGGTTTGTTCCTTGCTTGTGCTCCATTCCCCTCATTGCTGACAGGGTGAAAGAAGGTAAGCGCTCGCTTGATCCTGCTCTCAGCATGTGAGTATGGGCGGAGAAGCGATCATTTTGCGCAAGATTGACCTATTACTGCTTCAATCAGGAGGTGGCTTCCGCTGCACTGCAAACTTAGTGGTTAATTTGGTTTAGGTAGAACCCCGTGGAACTTCACAAAGGAAGCTATATCGATCCTTTGGTAACATCTGAATGAAAAGTAGTAAACTAATCCTTTATTGCAGGTGTCTCAAACACGCGGCCTGCGGGCCGCATGCGGCCCGCGACTCGCGGGGTCGCGGCCCGCAGGGAACCGGCTAAGAGTCCCGGTTCCCATGTCTTGAGCGCACGCGCAATCGTGATCTCATCTCGCCGATTCATTTTTGCTCAAAAAGTTGCTCCGCTTTTTTAACGTATTCATAATATTATTTACTTATCTTTGTTTATTTGCACTTTGTTTCGTTTTATCGTTTGCTTCCCAGCTTTTTGTAATTACAACAATTGCGGTACTAGGCTGCAAGGGCGAGCTCCTCGTTAAAGGATGCATCTCGGATGAGCAAAGTCTAGATCAGTAGGAGCAACTGCCGAAGATGAAACTACGAGCCCAGAATTCCCGGCTTAAAAAGGTATCCCCATTAAGAGACAAGTATGGGTGATGTAATAGAAATCGTCAGGAAAGCAAAAACTGTCAAACTACTGATTGTTTTTACAGACATGTTGAGCTTGGTTAATTCTTGAGTGAATTGAGCAATGAGAGTGACAGTGTACTTGCTCTCTTGTTCTATTAAAAATGCGAGCACGTTGGCGGGACGGTATCATTTTAATTATCGTTATCACATCAGGTCAGGTCCCAAAGTAGTCTTATAAACAAATCAAACGTAAAAAGGGCACTGGCAAAAACTGAGTTTACAAAAAACATAGAGCACGATGAAAACAAAATTAGGGCAATGATGTGCCCGAATTGAAATATACAAATTTTGCGTTTATTTTGCACATCCTGCACAAAAGGTTTTTAAAGTAAATCTGGCTTTCTACTACTTTCAGAAGGCTATAATAATCTTGCCCCCAAAAATATGCAATATTATATATATTAAAAAAAGATTGTATTAGCATGCATAATTTTCCAGTTGAATAAGAGCTCATTAGAATACTAACAACGTTTTGAGAATCATATCAAAACATGCAAAAACACCAAACTCGATATCTTTTCTTTGACAGTTACAATTCGAAAGGACAGAACGGTTTATGTGTATTAATACTTAGAATTATAAAATCAGTTCAAGAAAGATATATTTATATAAAAATTACCCTGATGACAATATTTTGGAGTGTAATAAAAATGCTAATGAGGTAGCACAGGCTCCGAAAGAGCAGGCATCCCATATTATACGTAATTATCCTCAAAGGCTCTCTCCTGTAAAACCAAACTACGTGCTAGTGAAATAGGCAATAGAAATAAAAAAGAGACCAGTTGAAGAAATTAAAAACCTGAAAACACTTTTATTTTAATTTATTTCTAATATGCAATTGATGCTTGAAATTTTATCATGAAAACAATCCACTTCTTTAATTAATTAATTTATTTATTTATTTATTTATTTGATACCCACAGCGCCTTTCGGCATTACAGTGGGGGGGGGGGGGGGGGTTATACACAAAAAATCAAGTATGACGTAACAGGTACTACATTGGAAACATTCATAAAAAGACAACCAATCGAACAAAAAAGATTTCGCGAACATGAAACAACAAAGTCACAACTATCGCGACGCACGGAGAAGATTGCAACAAATTTTACAAAAACATTATTATAATCATGCTATGAAGCTTTTCAATCGAATGACCTGATTGTTTCTAGGGCAGCATAAAAAGCATCATTGTCTATAACAGACGCTATGGTTGAAGGCAACCGATCCCATTGGGAAATCGTTTTAGGGAAAAAAGAGCTACTGTATGCTACAGTCTTGCATCTAAGCTCACGCACTTTGTGGGCATGATCCACACGAGCAGATACATAATGTGGTGAAGAAATATAGGTTTCGCATGGAATACCAGATTGTGAATATGATATATGCTATGGAAAAGCTTTAAACGAAGCTTTGCTCGACGGTGCTCGAGTGTGTCCCATTTTAATGTTTGTCTTGCACGCGTCGCGCTAAAATCACCACCCCGTTTTGGTTTTCCTAACACATACCGAGCGGCTAGGTTTTGCACTTTCTCTATTTTCGCTTTGTCAGTGTTTGTCGGAGGGTCCCATACCGTGCAGGCATATTCTAGTATAGAGCGCACATTAGTTTTATACAAGAGTTCTCGGATGTCATGCGGAAACTGTCAAGTGTTGCGCTTTATGAACCCTAAAGATCTGCTAGCTTTTGCAATAGTGAAATCCACATGTCGATGCCAACTCAGCGAGGTTGTGAAGTAGACGCCTAAATACTTATATTCAGACACTGTTTGTAAAATAATATAGTTGACTACATAACAAAAATTAGTTTTCACTTGCTTTCTCGAAAACGTCATGGACACAGTTTTATCTAGATTAAGTTTCATCCCCCAAAGTTTCCCACATGGAAGCAATGCAAGTATTTTTCCTGGTAGAAAGTCACGTGTGCCTACCATTACTGGTAAGCATTTTAAATGTTTGGAGTTTATCTGTCAAACCAACGAAGGGCACCTGGCACACCCTAACAAATGACTGAGCGTTAATCCAGACGACCTAATTTTTTGATTTTCAGCAAAAAGAAGAGAAAGAAACCCAAAAAGCTGGAGGTTTCTGGGCTTTTCCTTTGAGCGGCTGTGGCAGCTCTGCAATTACTGTTGAAGCCCTTCCTATAATTCCTACTAATAACAATCTTTATATAAACTAGAAAGATCAAACGAATGAATCGCATATAAAGATCTTCTTCCGCTGCCCTTTTTGACAGCATCTTGTACCTTCTCACTGTCAACACACAATCATGCAATTCCTTCACAAATGACAATAAAAATTGAATTGTTGGACATTTTGGAAAATATATTCCAGGTCTTGAAACCTAGGGTGTTCCCATTAACTATGTAAAAACCCGTTTGAAAACACGAAATGTATATGGTTATGAATCCTAAGCATTTTATTGAATAAAGTGATACTCTTGCATAGTTTTTTGTAGCATGTGAAAGTTACACATTTACCAAAGTTTTATAGTGGCTTTAGTAGAAGTTTTGCTGTAATCAAGATTTAAGACGTCCGGCCATATCAGCCTGGTAAACTATCTGCTGTCTGATCATCAGAGGCAATATTTTGGAGCCAATAATCTACTGATTACACTTTGGAGGAAAATGCTAGTGGAAATGACTACTGTGGTCCTACTCACGGTAGACAACCAGGTTGAAGGTAGCCTCTTCTCCCTGGTTGGGGGACGAACAGGTGTAGCTTCCCTTGTCGGATGCCCAGACTTCTTCCACAACCAAGTTCAGTCCCGACTGGTCCCCCGTGGGAGGAACTATGTGGATTCTGCATGAGGCCGAAAGTGGTTTCTGCGGTTACTGCTTTTACTTTATTAATGTCAAGAGTATGTGTACAGATAATAAAGACTGATTTTGTACAGTGAGCGAACTGTACAGAAATTGAACATATATTCACACGTTATAGTAACATGACAAGTCTTTGCTCTACTGAATTTCATAAAACTTATTTGAAATTTATATTTCCCAATTGACACGAGAGCATCATGCATTTTATATCATCAAAACTGTTTGCAAAGCGAGTCTATTGTTTATTTGAGCCGAGAAATTCCCATATGCCTGCACCAGTATTTCAAAGGTGACACACCTAAGCTCTATATATAAAAGCAATGAAAATACAAAACATTCCTACCTGTGACTCTAGTTTCATTGGCTTACCTTATTTATTCTTACTGTAAGACAGAAATGTGCTGCGAGTTAACTGTAATCTTTATGCTCTTCGCAGAAAGCGACAGCCAAAGGTATGCTGCCCTTCGGTAGTTCAGCAAATACAATGAAGTGATAGATGCAACAAATATGTCTACAACTGCAGTTATCGTTTTATAGAAAAGCTGCAATTAGAACTTCGCAAGCTCTGCTGCATTATTTCAACCCATCAACTGCCTCGAAAGATGCCTCGCCACGGGAGTGATTGCGCGGAGGGGATATCTTTCAAGACTATCCAGCGACACTCATTTTTCAGCGACCAGAACGCAGGGAAGCGTGCACCTAGATAGCAGAATATTCGAATAGGAGAGAAGAGATTTCAGCATCTGTAGATACAAAGGGGTAAGATGAACCTACCGTCCGTAAGTTGTCTTGATTTCCTTTCCGTCGGGCCCCGTCCACGTGATGGACTGTTGCTCCGTGCCTGGTCCCGCAAAGCACGTGACGAAGAAGTTCTCTCCCGTGAAGAGGCTGAGTTCGGGCTTCGCTGGCTGCAGGAACAGCTCACCCCGGCATTCTGCGAGAACAAAGGAAAGAAAGTAAGCAAATTACACTAGCCTGTGAGCACTGCCGCCACAAATGAGCGCTCTTTTCAAGCTGTTTCAGAAAAAGGTGCACCCTCGCAGTGCCACGTGAAGGGTGCCGTCTAAAATAACTACCGCTCAAATATTTTCTCTCCACTGGTAGATTTTCTTCGCCCTCTACGATGGCGTCGTGACGACGCATAGTCACTCTTTTAACGCTTATGTTGGGGTACAATTTATTCGGTCAAAGTAAACTGCTCGACCACTAGGAGCATACGTGAAAATAATACGATTACAATATTTGCGATCCTGCAGATGATATGGACAACAATCATGCGTTTTTTTGTTAGGCAAATAAAAGATCATTTCAGTTTAAAACTCCAGCGGACGCTCTACTTTGATACCAGTTTCTCCCTAAACGTTCCTACACTGCCCTGCAACACATATTGCACCGCACAGCGAACGACTCCACAACGTTCAACGCTGGAGCGACTCCAGAAAAAACAGTCTACAGACCAACGAAGGTGACACAAAAAATCACCGTATTTACATCATTTTTATATCACCGTGGTGCGGGGGAATGTGTTCGGTGCTAGCCGGTCGTGGCTTCGTTGGTGGCGGACTCTCCTCTCGTCACTCGCTCGTCGATCGGGTCTACTGTTTGTTTGACATTCAGCTGCAATAAACGCCGTATGGATTACCTCTGTATTGTCTGGTACGTACACTTTATTTCTTGAGTAGGTTCCCTTTATTTATTTTATTAGTGGTAAACGTTACAGGTCGAGCTAGCGCAGGTACCCTGCCCCCTCCGCGGTAGTGCGTTGGCTTCGCAATCAAGTTCACGACGTCTCTAGCGGCCTTCGTGGTGGTCATGCACGGTGTCGAAAGCTTTCAATAGTTCACGCGACTGCTTAGTGGGCAGAAAAGCTGACATTTCGGTCGATCAGGGGTGGGTTCCGACGTTCTACAGGCAGAGATTAAGAAGGCAGCAAGCTTGAGCTGTGGTACCCGGAATAATTAACAAACTCTTTCCCGAACCAGATCACCGGTGCGAAGCCCGTTAAAATTACGAGTCAATTCTTTTCGCGGCGGATTCAAGTGACGGACGTGAACATCAAGTTTCTTTGTTGATTTGTCGAAAGCTAAGACTACAGCGCTAGGACTACAGCGCCTTGGACGCCTCACCAGCGACAGGTGCCATCTTGTTTCGAAAGTCACTGACGTCACGTCAGCGTCGCGTTGTGATTGGTTGCCGCTTTGTGGTTCGTGAAAGCGGTTGGGAGAAATCGGTCCCGAAGCGGTTGGCAAAAACGCGCTCCAACCGCTCGATCCTAACCGCTTTGCGGTTGAGAACGCGCGGATCCGCTTCGCGAACGCGGATCCGCTTCCAGTGTGAACGCGCCATAACCGCTCGAACCTAGCCGCTTTGCGGTTGAAAACGCGCGGATCCGCTTCGCGAACGCGGATCCGCTTCCAGTGTGAACGCGGGCTGCACAAAGCGCGCGCTCTCAAATCTCCCATCGTCGTCGTCCCACACGTGTCGAGTGCGAGCCGATGAGTCAGAGGACCGGTGAACCTGCCTCACGGCGGCCCCGGATGCTTGGGCGGCGTGACGCCCGCACACAAAGGGGAGTCAGCGAGATGGGACGCAGTTGAGCGTCAAGGGCCAATCTTGGCTGCATTCACAGGGGGGCGTCGGCCGACAGATTGATCCGCTGGAATTCGCCCCGCTCCCGAATCAATAGGACTGCCGGGCATCGGAGATCCGCGGCTGGAACGCGTCAGACGCGGCCCCGAGCTCCGCACCGATCCGTCACGTCAGCCAGTGGCGGATTCAGAGGGGGTCCGGATGTCCTGAACCCCACTGATTTCCGCAGGAGTAAAATTTAGGACGGGGAAGAGGAGGATGTTCTCAAACATTTGATACGCTGATTCGAAATCAAGACACCTGCATCCACTCGTGACGTCAGCTGGAAACGGCTGTCTTCCCTTCCCCACACCCCTCCCGCACTAGAGTGTGCAACACATCGAAGCGTCGGCAGCGGCTTCCGTGCTATATATATATAAAAAAAAAGTCATTATTTTTTCTTTCTTTTTTTATGCAGAATTGCAGTTTATAGACGTGCGTGTAGCGCACGATTTGCTCGCTCGCCAAAGCGAGCAGAAGGAGATAAAAAAAAAAAAAAAAAAATGTCCCAGTGGTAGAAAAAAAAACAAAAAAAAAACGGACAGACAACGACCAGGACAAGTTCCTCTAGCAAAGCCCTCTTTCCACTTTAGCAGAGCGGACGCTGGAGACGAGGCGAGCGCATTGGCCAGCGTGGAAGGTGCAGGAAGGTGCAGTGTCGGCCAGCTGCCAAAAGCGTTAGAAAACAACAACCACAAAAATCGGAGCGACGTTTCGAAAAGACGCGGAGGCGGCTTTCGGAAGCGTCTTTCGCGTTCCTAATTAAATGAAATTCCGCATATGACGGTTTGCTTGATAGATAAAATAACGCCGCAATTTTTCTGGTCTTTCTTGGCCTGTGTTTACAAAACACGCGGTGGGGGAAAATGAAGTCCGACCTTCTTCGGGAAAAAGCGAAAAGCACAACGGCGCCGGTCCACACGCGAACGAAGAGCGCAGCAGTGCTCGCACATACACAGAACTTGCTTTTTTGGCGACCGGAGCAGCCTTCGAGAAAGCCGTCTAATCACAAAAAAGTATTTCGTGACCGGTTTGAAAGCAGTATAACTCGAGCAATATAACAAGGTACAATAATATATGCAATATCGATAAACGCGCAAGATAAGAGTTCACAACACTGCTGAAATGTCCACGATGTCTTTTTTCTCGGAGCTCGAACAAACTGATTGGAAGAACGAGGACAGCAGAAGGGTACAGGTGAAGGAAAATAGTGAAACAATGAGAGCGACCATATATTCATGAGGCTAATAAAGATGCAAAAATAGCAAATCAAAGTTAAAACAGGTGATATACCAAATAATTGTGCTTGCCTGTGTGTGTGTGTGTGTGTGGGGGGGGGGGGGGGGGGGGGGAGACATACCGGATGACTGGAAACTAAGGAAGATGAGGCTGTGTGTGTACGTGTGTGTGTGGGGGGGGGGGGGGGGACATACCGGATGACTGCAAACTAAGCAAGATGAGGCTAATATATAAGGGAAAGGGAAACAAGGATGATATCAAATCGGACCGCCCAATAACGGTAACCTCGGTACTATACAATACAAGCTAACTATGCAGATAATCAAAACAAGAATGGAAGAATGGTCGGGGAGAACACAGATCTTAGGAGAGCTTCAAAACGGTTTCCGAAGGGACAGAAGACTTGAAGACAACCTATTTACCACTGCTCGGTGTATAGGAATTGCAATGATAGATTTTAGGCCATTATGAATAGCATTTTTAGAAATAAAGGGGGCATATGACAATGTGAGCCAGGAAAGACGTTGGGAACAGCTCAGAGGGTATGACCTAGATTCAAAGTTGGTTTGGTTTTTACAACAGGTATACACAGACAATAAGGTGATTTTTCATTGCGAAGCAGAAACTACACAACCAGCAGCAATTAAAAGAGGGCTTAAGCAGGGTTGCCCACTGCCCCCCTGCTCTTCATGACAAACATGAGTGGAATGGAAAAGGGACTAGAAGAGAGTAATCTGGGCTTTGATATGGAGGGAGGGAGAAAAGTAAATCAAGTTATACCTGGGCTTATGTGTGCAGATGACATTGCTGCACTCTTAGCAGATAGCCATGATACATTGCAAGAACTAATGGGGAAATGCGGAGGGGAGGGTGACATGCTGAACCTAAATTTCAGTAGCGACAAATCTGGGGTAATGGTTTTTAACGACGACAAAAGAGATCCCCTGAAAATACAACACATAGTAATAGGCTTTGTAGACAGATATAAATATTTAGGGGTATGCAAAAACCAGGGAAGCAAATACCTAAAAGAACACGAGGAAAATGTACTAAAGAAGGGGAAAAGAAACTCGGCAATTATGAAACACAAAGCACTGTGGAATTTTAATAGACATGAAGTAGAAAGCGGGGATCTGGAAAGGAGTTGTGATGCCGAGACTGTCGTTCGGTAATGCGGTACTGTGCGTGAGAGCTGAGGTTCAATCAAGTTCCGAAATCCGGCAAAGAAGTGTGGGCAGGTTGGCACTGGGAGCGCATGGGGGCAGACCGAATGAGGTGGCACAGGGGGATATGGGCTGGTCGTCATTTGAGGCTTGAGAAGCTATCAGTAAACTGAAATTCGAGCAAAGGCTAGGTACAAGTATTTATATATGACGAAGCTATCAGTAAACTATTTATATAGAGAAGCTATCAGTAAACTGAAATTCGAGCGAAGGCTAGGTACAAGCATTTATATATGATGAGCTTGAACACAAAGTGGACAAATCGAACGCGAAAGCTAAATTTTAAATGCCTACAAACTAAAGATGGCGGCGAGCAAAACACCCGAGTACAGAAGGGCGTAAAGGAGACCGAGGGGAAAATGTGGAAGGAGGGAATGTTGACAAAATCCGCTCTTACGCTATAATGATCGTATAATCAGGAAACAAGAAAAGAAAATATATTCGATAACTCGCGAGGGAGCGCTTTGTTGTCTGAGGCAACGAGGGGGGTTCTGAGAACTAACCGCCGAATTCATAGATGTCACTCCGAGTCATGCCAAGTGAAGGGCGACCCTTCACTTACAGAAGGGCGGTTGAAGGGGCACTTCCACTTGAAGTGAGGTTTACCATTCTGAAATGGCACTTCGCTTTCACTCGAGCAAGTGAAGGGAGCCCTTCTACGGGATGCGTCCGGGAGCGAGAGTAGAAAAGAAATTTATATTTATACTTTGCGTAAGACCACAAAAGTAAGTTAATTCTTAGTGTGTTTACATAATTTGTGTTTATAAAGAAATATTAGCACATAACAAACATGTTGCGATTTCAGAAACGAACGTAGCTCGTGCATCTTCTTTCAAACTAAATT